TTCTAAGACTCTTGTGCAAAGCTCAGTTTTCAGATCACGTGACGAGTTTTCCCGCCACAATGACGCAATAATTTCTAACAGACTGTACGGAACGACTGTCAGCCGTTGCCATGTCCGTAGGCCTCATTATTTCGCGCGGCTAATGCGTTTCGGGTCACCTGGTCCGAGCGAGTTCGCCACCGAAATGCCTTGACCGAGACTGCGTGGGAAGACGCCGTACAGGGACTAGGCATGGCATGGCAATGTCTACTGTAGCGTCACAGAAAAACAGGGAAATGTTGTTTATCGGCAACGTGTTTTATAAACAGTGAGATCTCTGCATGTTGTTTCACTAGTGTTTGGAGGGCAAGACCTTCTGAAAATCGCAAATATTAATCCCTAGCAAGAAGCCACACTTTCGCTATGGAAAAAAAAATTAGTTCCCAGAGAGAACGGCGGAAATGGAAATGGGTCTTGGTCAACACCTAAAAGGCGCTTTACCTAACGTGCGTACGGAGTCACAATAGCAGGGAAATGAAAAACGTAACCATAAGTGAGTTTAGTACCTTCCTTAAAAGTAGCCAATCTAGGGAACAATTCTTTTACGGTTAACTCTTTTTTACCCTATTTACGGCTAACGGTTAAATTTTTTCAATTTTTACGGCTATCGACTAAATTTTTGGCCGGTTTACGCCTATCGGTTAACCCCATTGAGACCCTCATGATAGTGTAACGAAGTGACAAATTTTAGTTTTCACGTCTATGGAGTTTTATTCCTTATGCTCATAATACATGTAACCAGGCCTCATGACGTAACTTTCAGGAGCCTGGCTTGTAGTAATGGCATTTAGCTCGCACTTCTTTGTAAGTAACGCTGAACCGTACTCAAAGTTGAAGGAGAGGCACTGGGGGTGATCACGGCATTTCCTGAAGCATTGCATGACGTCACCGACCTCGTGTTGAGAGAGAGGCTGGAGGTGAAGAGCGTAATCTACACCATCGAGGGTGACGTGAAAATTGTCTGTTGAAGGAGGGCACATCAAGAATTATATTAGATTCAAGTCAACGCTAATTAAAATACTATACCAGCTACGTTGAGATTTTAATACGAGCAGGAAATCGAGTAAGCCTTTGGTAATTCAATACATTCAAGCGAATTGTATCCCCAAAATTTAGCTCTTTCCCGACCGTAGCTGACTAGCACATAACCAAACATTTCACCTAAGAATGATATGCACTCACACGAGACAAACTTGCCGTTCGGACTCAATTTCATACATGAAAACGGGAGACGCCAGGGGAGGGGGGAAATCCGGACGGAAGACTCGTACATATGTGTCGAATGCCGTATATCCTTCGAGTAGCAAAGGAATCAACAACGATAGCTGGACAAATAACTCATCGAATAAAGTGCAACTAAATACAGTATTCATGCTTCGTGAGGGTAAGCTAAAGAGCATTTTACCCCTCCCACGCCCCCAACTGACACTACACGACAACCGACAGTTTCTTTAGAGACTCTCACCCTTTCTTCTAGATTGATTTCTTATAGTGGGAAATGTTATTGGAAAAATCAGCAACACTAATAATAGAATTGCCATTGTCATACCGAGCCTTGACCGATCGTCCCCAGATTGTAAAGGCAAATTACTGTCATCATCAGACAGATTTCGCCTGCAGAACAACTTTGGGTTATCTTCAGCGGTTGATATCCAAAGAGCTTCATCTTTGATGCCCGGGACTTTTCCCGCTGGACTTTCCCCTCGGTTTGAGAACTCTGCGACGGCCTGGGCCCAATGACTATCGTTGAATTCGGTTCTCGTCCAAGGAACTCCAATGAAATACTCATTGTTTGGAAAACTGAAGCATTTCCAACGGGAATCTGTAATCATTCCATTGCTCAAACTTGCTAAAATCGATGGCTTGCTTTCAAAGTTTTTACACCTCACGGCTAAAATCTCTGTTCCAGGAATGATGGTATAATTTGCAGAAATGTTTGCTGTTATTAATTGCTCCGGTTGTAACTTCCCGTGGTAAACAGTCATGAATCCGTTACAAGTTATGTGTAGTTGCAGCTGTGTGGTTATTGTAACTAAAAGATTACAAAAACAAACACTGAACAAAACTGGGTCAGAATGCATGTTTACATTACTGGGTCTTTGTAGGGTCGGCAAGATATCTACCTGATCAGAATCGTCCCATATTAAATTGCCCCTTTTTTCAGGGACACCAAATGTTTTCTATAAAATAACTGTTCAAAGAGGGGAGTTAAAAATTTCTAGATGACCGTGGTTCCATGTACGAATCTCGAAGCTTTATATCGGCTTAATAAGTTCCCAACGATTTTCTGAAGTTTATGTTTTCACATAATAAGGTCGGAAACCTATAATTTAAGGATTCGAAAATGTGCGCCATGAAGAAAGGAATAAATGAAAAAAATTCTCACCTTCGTAAAGCCTTAAATCGCACCTAAAAGTTTCGGAAAAACAGCAATAATCATAACCCTAGGATGATCAAACACTGGTGCGCATTGAGTGCCGCTTATAATGCATTTCTAGAGATCTAAAATTAAAAGTACCCTGGATAGCCTAAAGTGTTTTCGATGCACTTATAGGAGGATATCGTCGTCGATCGCATGTCTCTGCTTTTTTATGTGATGCCGGCCGTGCTAAGCTATGTACATGCTTTGATTAATATAGCTTATATGCTTACCCAGAGAATATGGAGTGAGGAGTAACATAAAATACAAGCTGAAAATATTCATTGCTCTTTTTGTCCTTCTTGTAATCAACGAAACAAACCATTTAAACGCGGCTTGAAAGAATGAAACAGCTGTACGACTTATGAAGGAACTTTTACAATAGGCTTGGCGCCTTGGCTAAATATGGCTTTTGCTGTTAATATTTTGGCCTGTTAGCGAATGTCACGTGTGAAGAAAATGAAAACTCATTGAAAATGTTTTTTCATCTTGTTAAATTTGGCTGGCTTGACAATGAGTTATTACCGGACGCGCCCAAGCAAAACAAACATTAAAGAGGCAACCATTTGACTTTTGAGGTGCCGGCTGATTTTAGGCAAAATAATTATCTCGCTTTTACAAACTATGAATAAATAAACAAATGGCGGTTTAATAACAGTGTTTCCACAAAGTGGCTCTTCGTCTGTTATATCCTATAATTAAATTAAAATTCAGTTTGAGGTGAAAATATGTACAATGGATAAAAATATTTAACAATGAGATAAATAAATAAAAATACAATAGGGATTCTGAATTTATCTGGATAAAAGAAACGATTTCACATTTTCTTTATCAATAGAAGTAATGTGCTTTCAGCTAAAAGAAAAAAAAAAGAGTTTGTGCTTTCATCCTTCTGACTCATAATATGTGTATCCAAGCTTTTTGACGAAATTCTTGGGATCCTGGCTTTTGGTAATGGCATGAAGCTCGCACTTCCTTGTGGGTAATGCCGACGTGTACTCAAAGTTGAAGGAGAGGCACTGAGAGTCATCGCGGCACTTCCTAAAACACTCTATGACGTCACTGACATGGTGTTGAGAAAGAGGCTGGCCTTGGAGGGCGTAGTCTACTCCATCGAGTTTAGTTTGAAAAGTGTCTGTTGAAAAAGGACACATTTTTTTGCTAGTGTTTAGCGCGCACTAAGCAGTCTAGCACGCCAAGTGCGTTCTTATCAGTGGCACTAAAAGCTACTGGAAGATCGGAGCTGCAGGACTAAGAAAGTTCTCTATCCTGGGTTTCCAAGGTGCTAAATTCTTTAACTCTCTTAGTTTTGTAATTCGAAATGCGTCAAGTACCGCCTCCTTTTGCTGTAAACTTTAAGCTGAAAGCATTCCTCGTATCATAAATATTCATTTACTTTTTTTCTTTACCTTATTCTTAGAGACCCAGGGGCGGTGTATAAAACCTTTTTAAGTATCCCCGGACCTAAAATGTGTACAAGTTCTATTTAACAACTGTTTTGGTCATTGAATGCTGTGTACCGATCGTAGAACAATTTAGGAAGAGCCATCCACAATGTAAACTCAGCTACTGACGCTGGGCATATAACTAAGAAAAATAAAGGATATTTGGCAAGCTTTTGCCTGTTGTTTTAACTGGAACTACAATCATGGACAAAAGTCTTGGGACTTTTTTTCAATGCACACTCGCCTAACCCCTCCCCCTACCCTCAAAAACAACATTGAACGCGTGTATCCACAATTTTTTCCCCAGTCTTAAAATTTTATAGGTGGGGGAAAGGAGAACTGCAAGAAAAGTTCGAAGAGCATGCGCTGGTTATGAGGGCAACCAGAAGGAAGCTCTTCCCCCGTCGCCCGTTGTCGCGCGTGTCGGTCGCTACTCACCCGCTTCGCGCTTGCCTTCGCTCGCCTAAAAACGAGAAAAAATAACGCCTGTTATGCAGGCTATCAGCCTTCAGACGTACCCTTTGACGTATGTTCCATCATGTCTGTAGGCAAATAAGCTTCATCAGACAAATTACGCCTGCAAAGCAACCTCGGGTTATCTTCAGCGGTTGATATCCAACGAGCTTCATCTTTAATGCCCAGGGTCTTTCCCCATGGACTTTCTCCTCGGTTTGAGAACCCTGCGACGGCCTGGGCCCAATGACTATCGTTGTAGTCGGGACGACCTATAGTCCTTGACGAGATATTCTTCTCTTTTGGAAAACTGAAACATTTCCATCGAGCGTCTGTATTCATTCCATTGCTCAAACTTGCTAGAATCCATGGCTTGCTATTAAAGTTTTTACACCTAACCGTCAAAATCTCCGTTTTAGGAGTGATATCATAATGGTAGCTTACAGTAATGTCTGCTTTCTTCTCCCGCTGAACCTTGCCACTGTAAACTGCCATAGTTCCTTTGCAAGTCATATTTAGTTGCAGATGTGCAGTGATTTTAGCTGATTAAACAAGACAAAAGACAGCGGTGTTGTTAGGCGGCTATAAGACGACAGTAAAGCTATTTCAGGTAAATTCTGCATGTGCCGATCATTGTTTAGTGCTTTTGCCATATCGTCGTTGCCTACAACAGCATGGCGGACGATCTGTTTTCAAATCTGACACAACACTAAGATCGCACTTAATACGACCTAAGGATCCTGTAGATCCACGAAAACAAGAAGGAGTTGTGTATAAGATTCCTTGCGACGAACTATACGTTGGCGTAACGGGAAGGTGCATGCATGAACGGATTAAAGAGCACGATAGGCTGGGATATACGGCTTTCACGAACACAAACTTCGGCCGTTTCTGAACACGCCAGACCAGAGCTGCGCCAGACCGGGCATGATCCGCTCTGGGACGAAGTTAAGTTAATTGACCGATACCCTCATTGGTACTCTCGTAGATTTAAGGAGGCTATTCACACAGGATTTCACCTTAACAACATCAACAAGAACAGCGGCCTGGATGGCTACGATCAGACAACATGACAGGCGATCTCTACCACTGCGGACCGCTGAGAGATCAGTTTCTTCCTCACACAATGCCAACAGTGCTTTGGATCGAACTCAAGCCACCAACCTTGAGCGAGGTTTGTGATACACCAATCACTAACAACTACGATCGAGTGCGGCGGAGATTTTTCAGGGTCTCAGGCGCTCAGCCGCGGGCCAACACGACTTCGGCCGAAGATCGAAGCCAAGAGAGACCGCTTGACCGAAACCGAAAACAGAGCATGAAAAAATTTCTGGCACCTAGGGATTACAGCTAACTCTTCTTCAATGAAATTTAGACCCTTATTCTGAATGTACTTGGCCTAAATTGCTAATAACAGCGCCAAAAGTACCAGGTCCTGAAGAACCTTGTCAGACTTCAGAACATGTAGTTTCGACTGCATTCTATATTGCGTTCAGTGAGAAAAGGATCAGTTTTGAGGCCCATGTGTTTCGTAAAACAAGTATTTTTCCTTTCGCCTTCTATCACAAATTTTGAGTAACTCTTTATACTCATTTACGCTACTCTGGTCATGTTTTTGCCTGAGTCAAAAACTCATAATAATTAAATGCTTGGCGTCGAATATTTTATGACAAACTAGCAAGAAAATGGCTCATTGATATGCTTACCCAGAAAATATGGAACACCAATGAACAAAAAATACGAATTGAAAATACTCATTCTTGTCCTTATTCCTGACTTGTATTGTAATCGATGTCCGCTTTGATGGGGTGCCGGTATGTCACGACTTACGCGGAATGGCCGCCGTGCCTCATAAAGGCTTACGGTTATCCTGGTTATTATAATGTCTATTATGTTTTGAGTTTTAAGCGGCTACTGGTTAATTTTTTCCATAATTGTTTACAGAAATTAACCCATAAAAATATTATTGTTTTTAAAATTTCTGAATCAAATTCCAATTGTTTACAAACACTTTCTGTTTTAAGCCCATTTCGGGTGATAAATCAAAAGTTCTAATTAGTGAAAGTTTTGATTTATCACAATACGAGACAAACAACGTTTCAAACAGGCAATCTTGACACCCGGGCCCCCAAGTCTTGACACCGTTCCAACTGACAAAATGTTACTGAAAGACGACATATGTTGTTTTCAGTACCATTTATTTTACGAATGGAGGTAATTTTATTAAAAAGAAATAATAAAAGATAAAAGGTTATCTACTAAAGTAATTTGAGTTTTAACGAATTACTGCTAAGCCATTGAGACACATCTCCTCTGAGGCGTCTTTTGACGTTTGAAAAATTGCAAAACCCACCCATCGCGATATTCCTTTCTTTTTTTAACTTGTTTATTTCAACACTTAACAAATGTAGAGTCATTATCACCTTAAATCAATTTTAGAGTTTTCGCTCTTAATTTGTGCTCACAACATTGAAGTGCTATTATCAAAAGGGCCTCGGAACAGTATTCGGGACAAGGATGAGTTGTTATCGAAGACTTTTGTTTCTGCCAGGTGGTGCGGCCAAATTTTGTATGCGCGTTTCCGCATCATTGAAGAGGCGTTGACTCATTTCATTTCATTCCATTTCTCCCTTTTCCTAACAATAATTCTCTACATTACATGTACATACAACTCAAACAGATTTTTTGTTTTACGTAGTAGTAAGTTCTTTCAACCGTAATTGTGTGTGGGTCATTAAATTGAAAGGTAATCGAAAAAGTCCTTTTGAAAAATAATGGGACAGTTTTTCCACTGACAACGACATCTTTTGTGATAATTAATTAAGTTAAAGATCCTGTAAAGTTAGACTTTCAAGTTAGAGGAAGTTAGAAAAACTTCATTTTTTTACTAAAGTTTTCACTTTGCAGCTAAGACCAGGAGTCAGCCACAACGAGACGAACTTCATTATATCGAGGTTTTTTTCCACATGTTTTACTACTACGGAGGCGAAGAATATCTACCGTTTATCAGTTGTACTGAGGACTTCGTTATATAGAGATTACACCGTCATAACCTTAACAAAAAATCTTGTAAGTTTTTAATGGGGACTCGGTTTTAAGTAGGACTTGCTTGAGTCGACCTCGTGAGTTAAAGCGAGCTGAGCGAGCCTTTTAGTCCTCAAAGCGGCCAAACGATAGGACGAAGGACTTTCTTAAAAGTCCATTATGATTGTAGTGGAGGAAAGCGGTTTTGTATCGCGTTACTGTACTGCATGCCAAAGAATTGATTAATCATTCCAAACCACCACTGGGTAAGTAACAAAGACTTCATTTAATGAGGATAGGATTTGACAGTTATAAAACTGATTAACTAATGGCCATTTAAACATCACGGTTTCTGTCACAAATCTCTTCGTCTCGAATTTTAATTTTCTCCTTCAATTTAAAGCGAAGGTAAACTGGAAGGGAGCCGAAAAAAGGACGAGCCGCATACTGATCTTACTCAGGCTCGCGTATTTCGCTCTCCATCACCCTAATTTAAGAAATCGATTGATAGGGCTGCTTTCTAAATTTAAAGGCTTCCCTTTGACCGTTGACTAAAGGTTACGATGGATTTCCACTGTCGCGTAATTCTAACGCCAGTGCGTACAAGCGTAAAATTTGCGGTGTAAATACAGTAGTGTCACTGTATCAAAGGACGAGCGTAAACGTAACAATTGGGCTCTCGCTCAACTTTTCCGTTTACGCGCGTCCTTCGGATACATCGCCTCTATTTTATTTAAGTGCGCACGCACGATTACATGGCAGTGGAAAACCACCTTTAAAGAGTGAGTTTGATCACGGAAATAAACGCAGGGCACTTGGCCACGAGTTTATTCAGCAGAAGTCTCTCGCTTGGATTCTAATATGCACACTGTGTGGTCTGCACTGGAAAAAAAGACGATTTCTGGAAGAACGAAAACGGCGGCAGCTGAAGCAACAAGGTGATAAAAAGCATTCTAGTTTCTAAAAGCACGGTGAATAAAGGGAAATATGCTTTCATCCTTCTGACTCATAATATGTGTAGCCAGGCCTCATGACGTAATCCTTATGATCCTGGTTTTTGGTAATGGCATGAAGCTCGCACTTCCTTGTGGGTAATGCCGACGTGTACTCAAAGTTGAAGGAGAGGCACTGAGAGTCATCGCAGCATTTCCTAAAACACTCTATGACGTCACTGACGTGGTGTTGAGAAAGAGGCTGGTCGAGGAGGGCGTAGTCTACACCTTCGAGTTTGGTCTGAAAAGTATCTGTTGAATGAATCGTACAAATAACTTATATAGTACTCAACGCCAACAGAGAATGAGCTTATCTCTTGCATAAGAGCCATCTAAATTAGGCTAATTGAGTGGTTAATATTGGTTCCGTTTCAACAAAATTACCACCAGCGACTTTATACTGAACAATTTAGATGATGTAGTAACTATCAAATGTATTCAGACATACCCCTCGAGATTTCTTGGATGGATGTCAAGGGTAATGTGGCGTCATCAGACAGATTACGCCTGCAAAACAACCTCGGGTTATCTTCAGCCGTTGATATCCAAAGAGCGTCATCATTAATGCCCATCACTTTTCCTACTGGACTTTCTCCCTGGTTTGAGAACCCCGCGACGGCCTTGGCCCAATGGTTATCATTGAACTCGAGTTTAGTCCATGGGTTTCCATTAAAGTGCTCATCTTTTGGAAAACTGAAACATTTCCATCGAGGATCTGTAATCATTCCATTGCTGAAACTTCCCAAAATCCATGGCTTGCTGTTAAAGTTACGAAACCGCACGGCCAAAATCTCATTTCCGGGCGTGATAGCATAATTTGCAGAAACGTTTTTTGAAGAATGCTCCGGTTGAAGCCTGCCACTGTAAACAGTCATTAATCCGTCTTAAGTGATTTTTACCTGAAGTTGTTTAGTGATTTTAGCTGAAACATGACGAATGCAAACAAACAAAGAAAAAATCCGATTAGTTGCCCATTTTCAAGCATTTTTTAGCAAACAGTTTTGTGAAAAAACATGAACAGAGATTCTGCAATAGCGAAAAAGTTGGATGGCAATGTAGGTCGCCATAAATTATTATATATATTCTAACAACAGAATCTTTGCCTAAACCGTCGTGCTAGCCATTTCAAATCGACCTCCCCAAAGAAGACGAGTTTCAGATAGCTACTGGAGGTTTTGCTTTTAAAACAGAGAGAGTAGTCACACGCCAAAATAACTAGCTTAATTCACTCACTAAAATTTAACCATTTGCTATTAAGCTTTTGTTTTCCGCCGGCCTTCCGAGTCGCGTTTTATTGAAACTATCAACCCCCTACCATCTTAAAAACTGCGCAAGAAAGGAAATAGATATATTTAAAATGTAAATAATTAAAAAGCTAAGGAAATAGAAGGCAAAGTGGGCAGCTATTTTCAGTATACTAGGGAGAATTAATCTACGCAATTTTTATGGATACGCACCCTGAAAATTTTGTCTCAGTCATTTCGAAGTGGAGAAAGTAGGGGTCTGTATTCAGCGTTAGATGTTTTTTTTTTCTACATAAAGATTGAGGAAAAGAATTTACATGTACAGATCCTATCATTGGCTTGGCGAAGAGGGCAAACGGGAATTAACTAACTATAGAGTAAACTTAATCATTATGAATTTTCGTCAGGAATTCTTAGCTTACCGTAAGAACTGAAAACCATAAAGATGATCAAAAAATGGGACGTAAAATTCTGCATCATTACTGAGCTAAACCAAGTCGATGTTACTCCCTTGAAAACTAGGCAAAAGTGTTTTCAAGAGAATTTTTAATAAATTAAAATTGATTGGCTGGCTGTAGATCCTCAAATTCCTTTTTAATCCATTTTTATTGTTTTCACTCTGTTGCCCTCTTGGATCAAAATATTATAGTAATGAATCCTTTAGCGAACTGAAAGAGGCTCGCACAATATGAACAAAGCATTCCCGCTTTCATTTTTAATTTGTCGAGTAAAATCATCAAGTATATATACCACCTTAATTTTTGCATTCTAGCTGTAAATAAAATCTTTTGCCAGCTCTCGTCTCCCATTTACCTGTGAATAAAAACTGTCTTTATTGAGCTACGACAGTATAGATGAAGTGTAGTCGCTTACAGTTTGCCTCACTAAAAATCCATCCGGTACTCAAGTTTCGGTGGATATTTTTACTCGTACTACAAATGACTATTTTGAATTTCATTTATTCTCTGTTGTCAAGGAAACGACACATGGGTGGTTCTTCTGTTAATATCATGTTACATGTAGATTGCTGAGGACTGATATGCAATTCAGAATAAAGATTAGTCAGAATAAATCGCACTGTTAAAATAGCCATTATAACTCAGTCTTAGCCCGTAGTGAGGCGTTTTCTTTGAGCACGCAATTTGCTCGCGAAAGCGCCATGTTGAAACTTCCCGAAGAGAGGAGGAGATAGGGCGAGTCCTTTCCTTCTTTCGCCCTCGCAGAGGGTTACTATTTCTACTCTCTCCAATCTTCCACTATCATAAAATCAAAGATGGCAACTACAACAATATTACGAACACGAATAAAGTTTTGCCCACCCAAAATACTTCTGCACTGCAGGCTAACTCAGTCTGGGTAAATTTCTCTGATCGATGAGGCCGTGATACCAAACGCTGAATAAGTCTCATCATAACGATCTTTAACTTTAAAAGACTTGTTGCCTCAGCTGATAACCTTTTGACGTCTCTAACAGTGACATCTAATTAAGTCTGACTTTACTTTGATATTTCCTGGATTACTATCACAACAGATGCAGTGAAGCGCTCATTAAAGCATATTTTTATTTTAAGTTTCATAAGTTCTTGTTGGCTTAATTCTAGGTGATGATTACCAACCCTTAGAGTAGGTTACTCTCCAAAGGGAGTAACCAACGAAGATTTGTACAGGAAAACTCTGCCCCAAAATCTTGAAATCCTATCAATCAGGATAGGAAGTACTGGTGCGGCGTAATTAAATTGAGTCCAACCTCCATGTGCGACCACCAGGAGCAAGGGTAGTACAGTTGGTTAGTGCGCGGCCTTCGATTCGGAGCGCGAAGTCTCGAGTTCGATCCCCAGTAACATCACATCCTTGTTTCAACTTTTCTCCTTTCTGTGTAGCTTTGACTAGCTTGAAATACCCTTAAAACGGCGTTTTGGTGGAGAGAGCCAGGGGGTAAAATCAGCGCATGCACTGTCAATCTAAAGTTTATCAGTTCTTACTGTCACGAGTTATCGACATAAAATATGGTTGCTTTGAGGTTTTTCCAAGCGACCACTTGAGAGTGGCTGTATGTACGACGCCGCTCAGAGTATAAGAAGAACTTTCAGTGACAGCATTCTATACGTAAATCAGAAATTGCGTGTAACAAACTATCTTCCAAAAATTAGATGCATCGGGACCTCTTCTCAGAAGAGGCCCCCCGTTTGTCGATTCTAGTAAGAGACCACTTCCCTTAAGTGGCCCTAAATCTTCGCATTTTAGGTGGTCGCTTACGGAAAGCTCGACTTAATAAGAAAAAGTTCCTTGATTTCACCCTTACGACTCATAATATGTGTAGCCAGGCCTCATGACGTAATTCTCGGGATCCTGATTTTTGGTAATGGCATGAAGCTCGCATCTCCTTGTCGGTAATACTGACTTGTACTCAAAGTTGAAGGAGAGGCACTGAGAGTCATCGCGGCACTTCCTAAAACACTCTATGACGTCAATGACATCGTGTTCAGAAAGAGGCTGGCCGAGGAGGGCGTAGTCTACTCCATCGAGTTTGGTCTGAAAAGTATCTGTTGAAGAGTGGCACATATTAAATCCTAGAATGCAATGTTGAGCTAAATTAAAGTAACAACAAATTGTGTGAGTTGGCCACATGCTGCTGTTGCTTCATCTACATGTGGTTGTGCTCTGCTTCAGTCACATAATTTCAGAACTGGTCCTGAGTAACATTTTACTAACTGAAACCATACAGGCACAGTCTTCTAAAACGCTAACTTACTGGGCCTGGTTGTTCAAACCTTGGAAGTGCTGTCCGCTGGATAAATCACTGTCTACCGGATGAGTATTAGGGAAACAAATTGCTTTATCCACTGGATAGACTTTTATCCGGTGGATAACGCTTTTTACCTTTTGTACAACTGGGTCGGCCTGACTGCTATTGGCAACGTTTTTGGTTCGTTGAATATTAGCATTCATGAAAATGTCTTTCAGTGTAAGTTACTGGTTAGTTAGATGGGCATAAAAGTTCACGCTGTAACAACAACAATTACCGATCGGCTTCCTGGTAACGGTGAGATTGGAGAGACTAAATTTACAGAGAAGGAATCACTCTTATGCCTATGGAGACAGGTTGTATCGTGAACCCATGGGTTTCTGAACCCATTTCTCTGTAAGCCGCGAATTTAGGAAGGATAGATGCACAGACCAATCCTGTCAGGATTATACATGAACCCTACCAACATTTGGGGAAACATTCCACTACCGTTTTCGTTATTCACCTACTACTCTTTGGGGATTGAATTTCTCCCTCTCCTAGAAAATTAGTTAGCCACAATTCCATACCAAACAAACAAGATAATGTGGGTAATAAAACTAGAAAGAAAAAGCCAGAGAGAGCAATAAAGAAAGATCGAAATAGATTTGAAAAAAGTGTTTTATATGAAAATAAATCTTTTAAAGACTATCAAATATATTCAGGCATACCCCTCGAGATATCTTGTCGGATGGCGGTTAAGGGTAATGTCGCTTTATCAGACAGATTACGCCTGCAAAACAACTTCGGGTCATCTTCAGCGGTTGATATCCAGAGGGCTTCATCTTTAATGTCCAGGACTTTTCCCAATGGGTTTTCTCCTCGGTTTGAGAACCCTGCGACGGCCTGGGCCCAATGACTATCGTTGAAGTCTGGTTTTGTCCAAGGGTTTCCATTGAAGATCTCATTTCTTAAACTGAAACATTTCCATAGCGGATCTGTGATCATTCCATTACTAACACTTGCTAGAATCCATGGCTTGCTTTTAGAGTTTTTACACTTCACGGCCAAAATCTCCTTTCCTGGAGTGATAATGTAATTTACGGAAACGTTGTTTGTTGAATGCTTCTTGCCACCGTAAACGGCCATTTGTCCGTCACACGTAATATTTACCTGCAGTTGTGTTGTTACTGTAGCTGAAACGTGAAAAGCAAACAAACCGAGGAAAATAAGATCCAATATGTTTTGTATTTTCAAAGTATTTATTACCAGACAGTATTGTTATTTTTATTATATAATAAATATGTGATCAGAGAGTTTACAGAAGCGATATTGCCTTGCCATTGAAAGCGTTGTTGTGGCGGTATGTGTGCGGTGAATGTAGGTCCGTAATAAGTATAGACTAGGAGCTGATTATTAATTATAGCTATGAGGGAAGGTGTTAGCAATTGAAAACGGGGAGTTCGTTCATTTATAAGGACAAAAATGGTTTTTTTTATGTAGTTTTAGGTTTAGTTGGAGATCTTTAATTCAAACTAATCGATTTAAAAACACAAAACGTATAAATATGAGGAAGATGTGTAAAAAACATCATTTTCTGTAAGTTAACACTTGCAACTCTTTATTGGCACACTGTTTTGGGTACTGTCATCGTTGTTATATACTCTTAACCTTAACTACGATATATTTTTATGCGAATAATTAAACTCCACAGCTAAAAAAAGCAACAGCATTACTTTGCTCAGATATAAAGAAAGAAAAAATTATTCTTCATGACGTAAAATTCTGACACATTTTCTAAACTGAGTCAATGTTTCTTCCTTGAATCATTATTTTTTGAAGGCTAAGAAACGATGATTGAAAGGAATTTGCGAGAGATTAATTGTCTCGCAGCTTTTGCTTGTAATGTGTTAATTGATTTTTAGTGCTGTCTGCCCCTAGCGTGTTCGGGTTATATATTATTAATAGTAATGAGTCATTAAGCGAATTGCAACTAGCCCATACAATGAACCAAAGGACATGTCAATTAATGACCCAAGCTTTCATTTCTTCCAGTGAAAAAGTCAATCACACTGATCATCCTCACTTTTTTTGAACATTCGAAATTAAAAAAAAAAAAAAAATTAAAAGCTCTTTTAAATTTAACTACGAAAATCTGAAGGAAGCTCGCTTCGCTTCGGTTTAAAGCTCAGTGCATGGTGCACCGCAGTTTTCAGGGCAAGTAAAATTTTGTCACTTTTTTTCTATAGCCTCTGAAAAAGAATTTTCTTGTGCCTTTCTATTTTACGATTATTTACAACCTGTAGATTGGGTAGCCGCCTCTACATAAGGGAAATGATTATGTGGCTCATGTGTTTATTGACGATGCAAAAGGCAAAGCGTCTGACGCTTCGTTTTTAGTCTTTTTTAATTTTTGCATTTCTTAAGTGAAGCCGCAGCTGTCATTTTTTCTCATTTCCGTCGTGAAAGTCTTGTTTGCTCCAGCTTGCTAGTAGTGCTAGCAAATAAATTTTGGTGTGCGACGACTTCATTGAAAAACCTACTCAGATCAGGAATGGAAAACGCCCGACGACGTCCACAATGACCTCAGAATAGCTTAAGAGAAATGTTATTCTACGGTGACGGCAGATTCGCCTCTCAAACGACGTAAATGACCAAGAGCGTCTTTTTAAAGAGCTAATGGCAATAAAAGGAAACATCTAGCCTATCTTCTTAATTCTTTTTCATTCAGCTAAAGCCAGGAGTGACATGAACACTAGCGATATATATACTTCGATAAAAAGACAACCGTTTATCAAGTCCTCTGTCGAAAAAATTCATTTTCTTCCTACACGTTAGCCATAATTAAAGCTCTTTATATACAATAATTAGATACCAGAAAATATTGAGTAAAACCTATACGTATGATTTATAGGTTTATACCCATTTTGCTCTACAGACAGTTTACCCAAACCGAGAATAAGCAGTATCAATATCAGTACTGTAACTCAGTGATATTTAAATTCTTTCCAGCTAAATTGTTCCGAGCCCACCTTGCATCCAGACCTTTTGTTAACCCTTCTATACCAAAAAATCAATATACTGGCACGATAGCCGTGCTCAATGGACTTACGGAACGTTAGATCAATTAGACTGGTACAAAATGAACATTCAATATCACTATGTACTCGTTCGCTTCTCCTGATGCAGCTACCACTGACAAATCCTTCCAATATACACAGACCACTCTGGTGAATTAATTTGAAAAAGTTGTGGCAACTCAGTCTATATCAGAGTAGGTTCTACATCTGGAAGGCACATACCCTTAACCTGAGAAATATACAATAATGATGAATCAAAATGGCGATGTTGAAATAGCTACTATTTTTTTATTTTAGGGACATTTTACCCATCGATGAAGCCATTTCGAAAGCTGAACAAGTCTCATTTAAAGGATTTTTAACTCAAAAAGATTTGTTGTATCAGCTGATAACCTATTGTTGTCGATAACAGTAGCAATGTTGCAGTGATGTGTGTGGTCCACTGTGTTTACTCTGATATCTTTCCTTCATTACCAAACAAGGAAATGTACAAGCAAGAAACAAGATAACAAGGACATGTACTCAGTAAATGTTCATCTGACAACACACGCACACAGTCACCATCACATCACATTCAGCGAAAAGTTCATTTAAGCAGTCAAGTTGTAAAAATGAGTCTTCAGTGCTTCTATTCGGCGGCTGCGACGAATTCCAAACTGGACTGTTGCCACACAGTTATTCGAAATTGACCGGAGCTGACCCAGTTTCTGCGATAGTCACAAAGGTTCACGGTTTACTTCAATAGTTCAATATTCTACATTCTCATAATATATGTACCCAGGCCTCTTGACGTAATTGTTAGGATCTTGACGTTTGGTGACGCCATTTAACTCACAGTTTTTTGAAGGTAAACTTAAAGTGTATTTAAAGTTGAACGAGAGGCACTTGGGGTCATCTTGGCACTTCTTGTAACAATGCATGACATCATTGACCTCGTGTTCAGAGCGAGGATGGCTGGAAAGAGCATAGTCGACGTCTTCTAGTGTTGTTTGGAAGATACCTGGGATGAGAAGTACTTATTGTTATGCCAATGAAAGTAATGGCCGTAAAAATTAGAAAACAATTCCAAGTCATAGATCAAACAATTGAACAAACAATACAATGAGCAAACTCTGTATGAAATATCCTTTTCAGGGATTTTAGTGAGCTATACGTCAACATTACCAATCCGTTGGATATCGTTTTTTTGGTAATTAAGTTGCCCTTCCAAGTGCCATCATTGAAGTGAATTTCTTTTGATTTCAATTGTTAACTGAAATAGAACTGATCCAAGGAATTTTAAAACACGCATAGAATGACACAGCTAATTGCGTTTACACGCAACCTCGTCACCAGGCCACCAACTTTGAATGGAGGGGAGGGGGGATGGGTGTGGATCCTTTTGTTATCTGAAGTTACCCTCTTTGAGTAAAATGTCTAAACAATTTTGTTGCCGATTGCAGATATTCCAGAAATTTAGGTTGGGATATAAATGGAACACGTTTTCAGGCGTTTCACTGCGGGAGTGGAACTTTGGAAAGGAAGTCCATTTTTTCTGCTGGAAAAACGTTTACATTTAGAAGTCTTCACAAGGATTCACCAGATCCAGGTATGGCGATATCTGGGGCACCATACTGAATTTTGAGGAGAAAGGGCAACGAAGAACTTCTGTCAAATGGAAAATATTCTTCACACGATGAATCTTTCCATCGATGAAGTCACTTCCAAATGATTGGTGACTGAAAAATGCCTTGCAAGACAGTTATTACGTCTGCTGCCAATTTGTACTAGGAAACTGATTTCCATGTTTAGCAAAATTTGGCACTTTACTTTTAAGACATTTCATACCCTTTGAGAAGCTTGTCCGTTTCAGGAAAACGTCAGACAATCTGCGCCTGCAAAATATTCTCACATCATCTTCGTTAGCAGTTGAAATCCAGAACGCATCTTCAGAAATATCCCGCACCTTTCGCCATGGACTATCTCCTCGGTTGGAAAAACTGGCCACAGCCTGGGCCCAGTTGCTATCATCTGCCCTATCTTGCGACCACTTAAAATTTAGAGGCTCCCTTTTCGCAAGACCTGTGCATTTCCATCGTGTATCGGTAACAATACCATTGCTTACGCTTCCTATGATCCACGGCTTGCTTTTGGAATTACGGCACCTAACGGCCAAAACTTCGTCTCGTGGATAGAGGGTGTAATTTGATGAAATATTTGTTGGATTTTCGATGAAGAGCAAGATTTTTTCTTGATCGTAAAATGATAATTCCCCGTTGCATGCTAGTTGTGCCTGAAGCTGTTTAGTATGTTGGGCTGAAAGTGCAATTAATAATGAGAAAGCAAAACAAACTATTCGGTTTCAATCAAAAAATGCAGCTTATTTCATGATAAGCAACACATAATTTGCTACCTTTTCCCTAGCGAATCCTTTCTATAAACTAAAGCTTCCTTCCAAATTTAACCAAGAGCTAAGAAGGACAAAGCTTCACCGCCTTTATTTTTGGTAGCTTGTTTTGATTCGTTAGACTGAAGCATTCAGGGCACAGATAAACATTTTTTTCGTCTCTTCTTTTTCTCTTTTAGAAGTAAAGATGAAACGGAGGAAGATTTCTCAGAGTTTAAAAACTCACCTGAACAAAATGACGAAGTAATGAACAGAACATATGCTGGAAGAATAGTCATTTCTTTTCCCTTGGGAGTGAATCGACTCCGATACAACCAAGAAAAAGACTACCGATTTACCTTTGAAAAGCCGAATAGGACTGAATTGAATACAATACACTCACAACGACCAAAAAAAATTTACATTGTCAAAATTAATAGGTTTTGTTTACAACAAACGCTGTCTTAATATTTGACTACATTTTGCACCTTCTTGTCGCCTGACACAATTAAGACCAAAACCACCTTAATTTAAAAAAATAACACAGTTTAATTGACTTGGGAAACTAATGATGAAATTGTTGATCACCTGGCTGCCCCGCACCCAGTGCGTTTCCGCGCAAGGAATCACGGGAAAGGCGACGAGGAAAACGCCCAGCCTTCCCATTGTCCGTTGTGCTAACCCGGCCTTGACTTTCCCATGGTCCATTGCGCGATACTCCTTGATCGCTCCTCAAGCTTTTTTCAATTTTCCTAGAAGGTTCGAGTTATCGGGAGTCGCCTGTATATTTTTTAACATAACTTTTGCAATATAAAGAGGGTTCACCTTACTAAGCAATTTGTGTTTGGTCACCATGGCAGGATGACAGTCACTATCATTTCAGTAACAATTGTTTGTGTAGGTGTCCTCTGTTCACCTGGTCCCAGGCCCAAATGCGGTGAGTGTATATCTTTCGGTTTCTGTTTCTGGTTTCGAGTTTCGATTCGTTCGATGACATTGAATTTGAACAGAAGCATTTGCTTCTGATTTGAAGCATTCGTATCATTCGGCTAACTTTGGAAAGTCATGTACGCGCTTCAGCAGGAGCCGAGAGGAGTTTAATATGTAAGTACATGCTGTATGGGAATCGACAACTGTGTGTAATGATCTTAGCTTTGTAGTTCCGCTTTCGATTCAGCTATAAAACAGGAAGGATTTGAACGCGACAAAAGTTAGAAATACGTTTATTGCAGATTCTCGCAAAGCTCGGGGAAGGTTGACCCGGGATGGAGGAAAGGGAAATAAGTTTATATCGATCGAAATTGAGTTACCCCTGCTGACTCCGGTGAAATTGTTTCTGTATTTCATGGTGTGATTTTCTTTGTCACTCATTCCAACCGAAGTTAAGTGGGTAAAATGTGCCAAGGATTTTCGAAAACTGGAGGGTCAACCAATCAGACAAGTAGTCAGTTTAACTAAAAGATGTATTGTTAAAGGGAGAAAAACCAAAATTTGGTCAACATATTCTTTTCTCTACAAGAAGGTATTTAACCAACCTCGTTCCCAGGGTCTCTCATCTTCCCGCCCAAGCGAGAAGATTCGCTTGGGCGGGAAGATGAGAGACCCTGGGAACGAGGTTGGTATTTAACAATACCATACCAGATGGACCCGTTTCTCGAAAGTCCCGATAATTAACGGGCCCGTAAAGCTGTATTTGTTTTCATGCAAGATAGAGGTTTCAATAGTTTTGCATCTAACATGATGAAACTATCAGTTAATGAAACAAAATGGAGCAGTTTGTTAGCCAGGACCGCGTTCTTATTCTTTATATTTCGATTTGAAAATTTGATTTCAGGCCCGAAACGTTACCGGGACTTTCAAGAAACGGGCCCCAGACCATGAGGGCAAGAGGAATAATTGTTTCAGTAAAATCCAACTAGTTGGTCAAAAATATCGCAACAAAACAACTATAGCTAGCAAAATGCGATTCAGCTGCCATTGTTTTGGTTTTCAAAGCCGGCGTTTTTTGCTTATACTAGTGGGCTATAACTTATAGCCTAGTAGTAGCTCCACCAATGAGAATGCAGCATTGATAACAGACCACTAGTTGGATTTTACTAATGCCTCACATACCATAATGGCTAAGCCAATGAGAGCTCTAGAATTGCATTATCCAATGATTCTATTTTTTATAAAGCCTGTTATTTATTTTAACAGCATGTAGCGTGATATTTT